TCAAATAATATTAATGAAAATATTTTATTTAAAACATTTAGTCAATTTAAATATTTAGAAGAACTTTATCTTGATAATAATAAATTAAAATTTGTACCATTTTTATCAGATATGATATCATTACGTTTAATTAGTTTAAATAATAATTTATTTTCAACAATTCCATTATGTTCAACATCATTAGAAATACTTAATTTAAATAATAATTATATTAGACAATTTTATTCTAAATATTGTTTATTTATAGTCAATATTATTGAATTAAATTTAGAAAATAATGATATTAAACAAATACCAATTGAAATTGAAAAATGTAAAAGATTAAAATATTTAAATTTATCTAATAATCCATTAATGAAATATTCTGAATCACTCTTCTATATTCGTACATTAAATAAATTATATTTAAATATTTGTGATATTAAATATTTACCATCCATTGATCTATTTTCAAAATATCATTCAAAAACATTAACATATTTAGATTTATCAGAAAATAAATTATGTTCAAATTTAGAACAATTAACTATTTTAACATCATTAACAATATTAAATTTAAATAATAATAAATTATATGAATTACATGATCATTTTCAATATATGACATGTTTAGAAATATTAAATTTAAATAATAATAAATTAAAACATGTACCTGAATGTTTAACAAGAATGTCACATAATACAAAGAAAAATATAAGTATGATGAAAAAAAAAGAAGTTTTTTTTATTTTTTTTCGATAAATGATATCATAATTTATAAAATTTAATTGATGTTTTCTTTTCTTATGTTTTTAGATGAATCATTACGTGAATTACATTTAAATGGAAATCAATTAACAAGTTTACCCGATGATATAATGCATTTAATATTATTATCATTATTAGATATATCAAATAATTCATTTAGATTATTTCCAGAACAAATAGTTTTTCTTGATCACTTAACATGTCTGTTTTATGATCAATTGAATGGTATACGTATCAGTGATTTACCACAAGAATTTACAAATTTTAAATATTTAAAAAAATGTATATTTTCTAATAATCAATTTAGTGAAATTCCATTATGTATATTTAAATTAAAATGTTTAGAATATATTGATTTTAGTTATAATTATTTAGATGGATTACAAACGGAATATTTATCAAATTTAGAAAATTTAAAAGTTATTAATTTAAAAGGAAATTGTTTTAAAAAATTTCCTAGTACATTATTTAATTTTAAATGGTTACATACAGTTGATTTAAGTGAAAATGTTTATTGTTTGGCTCCACCTAATGATTTAAATGAAATAATACTTCGCAATCATGAACATAATATTGATGAGAAAAATCAATGTGTTGAAGTTGTAGCACAAGATGGACGATTAGCAGCACCAGCGAGATTATTTGCGATAATAAATGATAAAAGAGAAGGTACGAAATTCTTTATCTTGTTATGAGAGCCTATTTTATATTTTTCTCAAATTTTTGACGTCTGATTAGATGAAACGTTCCTGAGCTGCTAGTAATGCAGAGTATACGTTTCTCTATGAGATAAGACGTTGACAAGTACTGTCATTTTTTTCTTGTAATTCTACATTTATTATTCAGTAACAAATTTCAAATCGAATCTGACCGAGAATGAGTATAAGCGCGGTCAAAGACATTTTTAGAACAAATATAGAATACGATTAAAAGAATGATGAGAACTCTACGATCTTTCATTGAATAGTAAAAAAATATATTTATCTTTGCTCTCTCGCGAACTGTGCATTTTTTCCTAATGGTTACGAGCGTATACGCTCATAAACATCTCTATAAGTAGACATAGCCAATAATGGTAGAAACATGTTCATGTGTTTCTATGTCAAGTCAGCGTCCTATAGGAGATAGACTTGATTTTTGTCTTTTGCATGTCTGAACTACAGAGCTTGTATGTGTATGTGTGTATTAAAATCATTCTGATCTGACAATAATGCACTAGGATAAAAGCCAAATACTCAAGACTACAGTTGTGACAGTTGTTACAATAACTGAATGCACACTCATCTTACTTCAAATTGGAGTTTTTTTCTTCTTTCATAGAAAATCAGTCTAATTAATGCTGGTTGATTGTTTTAAAACAAGATGATCTTTTCTTGCAGTTCGGTAGTGAGTACAGTAATCCTTATTTAATTTTTCTATAAAATGGTGTGAAAATCAACGATTTATCAGAAATTGGCCAAACGGAATTTGAATTTTGGAATTTGGCCATAACACGTTTTGGTCAAAGTCCAACGGAAACTGGCCAGAAATGTGCATTCTTTTTTCAAAATGTACATACACTTTTGATTACACAATAAGTGTACTATCGCTTAGACAGCATGGCAGCTCGTTGTACTGCAATAGCTGCATCGTTATGCGTATTTATAGTGTCAGATCATTCACAACAGATGTATGTTTTTTACGTGAAATTGGCAAAATGGCCAAATTCATGTACAATTTAGATTTTTGGCCAATTTCTCGTTGAGTCTAGGAAAACGGCCAAATGCCACTAGAATGTACATTTCTG